GAGCACAGGCAAAATGAGCTCAAAGTAGTTTCAGCTGGAGCTCAATTTGCAGCATGGAAAAGGGGTCACAGTCAAGTCTGGTTTATGGTAGGCAGGTCAAAGAGAGGCTTATCAGGATGTGCTCTGGACCAAAGCAGAGAAAGGAAACAGAACCTCTCCCATAGTTTTAAGCAAGCTGCTGCATTTTCTATGTGTCAAGAAATCTGTGTCAATTTTATGCAGCTTCCATGAGCACAAGCCACGTGATGGCACCTATTTCCCATGTGTTGGCAGTGGCACCAGCTAGTGCAGCATCTGGACTTTCCCAGGGATGCTAGAAAGCAGCTGACATGTCAGTCCAGGAATTGCCAGCCTCACTCCCAGCACCAGTGTAAGACCACAGGCAGTGGGCATCATCCTGTCAATCAGGCTAATCCTCAACCTCAGGGAGAAAAATAGCTTTGCCTTCTGCAAAACTTACTAGGTTACTTCCTAGGGCAGAAGTGTGGGTTTACTTTCCATTTCATTCAACTGTAGTTAATCAAATCCAGGCATAATTTCTCAGATGTCATAACACATTGGCTAATTAAGAAGTATTCTCAATTTAGTAATTCACTGAAGACTGACTATGAAACAAATTATTATGCAAATAAACATATGAGACACTGGAATTCCCCAACAGCTACCATGGTCACTGTTGCTAAAGCTATTTTATCCGTTGCTCAATATTTCATGTGTCACCAATCACAGAGCTGACAAGTTTAAGGATACTATACATGATATGCGAGAGATAATTATCTTAATCGAATACATTTAGCAGGAATATATAATAATCCTGATTACAATAGGAAAAATTCAAGACTACTTACCACAACTATTTTTAGTCACATAATAGCTGCTAAAGTGATGGGGTTATTTAGTTACTGAGTAGAACTTCTGTGGCAGACTTGAAAGCAAGATGTCACCAATATCAAGCAGTCAACTTCAATAATACTTCTGACAATAATACTTCCAACCCACTGAGTCAATCCAGAACACTTGTGTGCTGATTTCAGCCAGTACAGCATCTACAGAAAACATCACTGCATTTTTTAATGCAGAAGAGATGTCAAAATTAAAGTCTCTATAGTATAAATATAGGTACCAGAGAAATTACTATGATTTTCTTCTCTTCTCATTAGCAACACTGGTAAAAAGAGCATAAAAGCGCTAATGAAAGGTGCTGATGGATCAAAATTTGAGGTATTGTCAAAACCCATGTAAGCAGAATGGTGTGCAGGAAGATTAGGAGCCTTCAAGAAGTGCAATATTAGGAGAACATTGTAATTCAGCAGCATGAAATACAAGGTCACTCAGGCACCATGAAGATGAGAAGCTGCCAACAAGGATATGGACTGCAATAAATGTCAGTCATTTGTGAGAGGATTATCTGGGTATGAAACAGATCTATGTGCTCAACTCAATCAAAACCTAATATCAACCACTACCACTATGGTGGCTGGAAGGAAGGACTGTAAATTCTGAGTGTTTCCAGCAGCCAATTTCTTACTTCCTGGCAAAACCTCATCAACAAACATTATAGCCTCCCCAGCTGCCAAATGTATTGATTAGAGAATAGCTACTTGAATGGCATAAGCAACTGAACACTCCTAAGAGGAGATGAAGAAAAGCTTAGCAGAATGTAGGTTGAGAGGATCTGATGCTTCATTTAATTAAAACAGATTGCATATAGTTTGACTTTTTTTTCCTCTGCCAAAGAGGAGCTGTCTCCAACAGCATGGCAACTGCTAGTGCCAGAATACATGATAGATATCCCTAATGCACTCCAACCCTCCAGCTATTTTCAGTTCAGGAACCTTCTGTGCCTGATGAAAATTATGTATCCTCAATGTATTTCTCTTCCATGAACTTCTCCAGACTCACCCTGAACTCATGTAGACTTTTAGCAGCTGTACCACAGCTTCTGAAGCTTCTGTAGCTGACAAACATACAGCAAAGTAGCTGCTCAAAACAAAGCTAAGGTGAAGACAATCTAGAACATCTGCCTGGACAAAGACCTCTAGGAAACTCACAGAAGTAACTACAAGGTTTCAAAAGAGAAAATAGCCATGGGATCTCTTCAACTTTGGTCAAGCCAAAAGGTACATCCCACCATGGAGGTTTCTACAGACCAGCAGGATCTTTCACAACATCAGAGTAATAGGGTTTGACACCACGACATCCAAAAGGTTTTTCAGATCCATTGCTGTGACAAACATTCATGTATAACAGTATTTATCTGTGTGTAAATAAGAGCCTAGAAAGCAGAAGAGATTATTAAAAAGATGTGTGCCTGTGTGAGTGCAAGACAATTCCTCCTCCTTCTGAGCACTTCCTTGCTCTCTCAGGAGCAATATTAGCTCCATAAAGAATGAAATTGAGTGCGGTGAAAAGGAGTTTTGGAATGATGGAGTGACCCCCAGGACCACACTAGACCTCCAGAGGCACAGAACTCTATTTTTTGAGAAAGGACATGGCAGAGGGGAACAGTTCCACAGGGCATGATGACCCACTACAACAGATCCCTCCTCTGCCTTTTCATAAGCTCTGACACACACTCAGCTACAACAGCAAAAGGTTGAGTCATTTTCTGCTATTTTATCCAGCAGAAGATGATGAGTAAAGCCTACACCTCGCAGCTCACTGTGCAAATGCAGTCTAATCATCCATGCCATCTTGGATAACTGTGCTACACCTGCCCTAAGAATGAATTTAAGAAAAACACCATCAAGGACAAGGGTCAGGGACCCATCAGGTCCATGTACAGTTCAAAGTTCAAGAGCTTTAAAAGAAATATTGGGCTCCATAGACAAGGAACTGGATGTTTACTTTATCTAAATGACTGAAGCAGTGGAGTGTATTCATGTATACTGTTCACAGCACAGAAACATCCAAGCAGGATAGTTACTGCAGTTTTTTCTACAAGGTGCTTTTCCATCTCCAAGTTCTTTATATGTATTAGTACTGGACATATCCCCACACAGAAAGCAAAAAACACCTATTTGCTCTCTAGTTTGGGGGGGTCACTGAACATTAGAGGGAAATCTAATTTTGTTACATTGTATTTTCAATTATCCCCATCTCTGGTCACAATTTTCAGATGGTTTAGTGTGAAGGGCCAAGGACTGAGATGTCCAAATAGATTGAAAAAATTTATTTCACCCCATACTGATTTTCAAACTGTAATCAATTCTTTTAATGTATTACTACCCTCTACTACACAGTGCTTTCCTTTCCCCTGAAGCCCAGGAAGTATTTGAACAGCATGAAGTGAAGTACATCCTTAAAACAATTATAATACCCTTAACACTTCCATTATATTTTATTACCCACAGTCCCCAGGCATGCACACATGTAGATTATCTGTGCTTTGTAGATGTGGAAGCAAACTGCACTGCAGGCAGTCCCTGAGCAAGCCAGCATCAGAAGCACAACCCCTATTCAGGGGTCATAATGTTTTTCTAGGAAATTAAACAAGCCAGGATTTCAGCTGGTCAGCATTTACTTGAAAACAGCTCACCTAAGTGAGCAACATTCCTGATGAAACCAGCTGGACAAATAAGACTCTCAGCTTGGTGTTTGAACAAGCAAAAAGGCACAAAGAAAAAGTCACTGGAGAGGAAGAACAGACTAAGTTTTTTTCATAAGCAAACAAAACCCTCTGAAAATTAACTTAGGATTAACTTGAAATATTTTGTTGAGGTGGGGGGAAAAAAATGAATCTTTGTTTCTTATGTTTGTGTTACTCCTTTTCCCAACCTTAAGACTTTTAAAATTTTAGGGTCATGTTTAAAGGGAAAAGTATAAAAATTGCTGCATTTTATTGTTCTAACACATCCCTTTCCTCTCCCAAATACTGTCATTTTCAGGGTTAAAGTTATTCTTCACATTAAACAGAAGTATGTGAAAAGTGTCATGCCCCTAAAGGTCCATTTCTGGGGGGAAAAGGCACATGCACAGAGCAGACAGGAATCAGCACAGGGCACTACTAACAAAAACAAACTGCTCCCTAGATGATCACACATGTAGGGAGACACTCCATGCACATCAGGTGCCCACTTTGTCTCCAAAGAGAACCAGTGAATTAACAACCCTGCTGGACTCTTTGTATGACCTGCTCCTCTGAACACTGCACTAGGCACTAATCCTGCTGAGTAATTCTATCTATAGGACACTCCCTGCAAACCCAGAGATGGCAGAGCACAGCATTCCCATTCTCCACATGGGACCAAGACACTGGTGCAAATGTACTGCTGTAGCTATACAGCATCTCCACACAGCATCTCCCACTGATCCAAGGTCATGTAATCATAGAATGGATAGGTTTGGAAGGGACCTTAAGGACAATTTAGTTCCAACCCTCTTGCCATGGGCAGGGGCAACTTCTGCTAGATTAGGTTGCTCAAAGTCCCATCCAACCTGCCCTTGAACATTTCCAAGGATGGGGCATCCATGGCTTTTCTGGGTAATGTGTTGTGGTTCCTCACCACCCTCACAGTAAAGAATTTCTTCCTAGCAGAAGATCTGCTGTGTTGACTCCAGACTGCCTTACAGATTCACCATCCTCCCTCCAGTCTTCCTACCAAGACAGATGGTTCAAGAAAAACTTTACAAGATGACCCACAGGGTACCAGGAAGCGAAGCCATAGGTGACACCACCACTAAATCTGTCACACTGTGTTTACTGGTCCATAACATCAGAAAAAACAGGCAGAGTCTCAGTTGGAACTCTGTGAAACCAGAGAGGACTGAGGGTTCATCAAGCACAAGTGAGGAGCTGCATGACCCAGGAGCTACCCAGGCTTCTCACAGGGATGTTAACTCACCCACAGCAAATATTTACAGAGTAACTGTTGTAGCACTCACTTGTCAAATGCTTTCAGTAGTGGTGAGGAATAACCACCGGAGTAAACCTGCGGCTGCTCTGAGTGGTGTTTCCCTGAGGTGTCATGAATCTGTTTTGTTAAAACAGTGTTTCAGACCTGCCTGCGAACTAAAGCTGCTACCAGCAGCAGTTCCTCACTGCTTCTCTCCTCCTCCTTGCACACTTGCTCCATTTCTCTAGTAGTGTGCTTTTACTGAGGAACAAACCATACTCAATTCAGAAAAGGACTTTCTTCATTGGAAGAAAGATATCCGTCACCACCGTCCTTCTAGGGCAAAGCAAGACTTAGCTGTTGAACTAATTTAGCTCAGTGTTCATATGGATAACTTGGATCGTAATCAAGTGGATTACTAATTCACCAGAACAATAAAAATCATTAGGCATCTCCATACAGGTTAGTCTATGTTGTATGCTGAATGTGCTGGAGGAAAGCAATTAATGTACAACTGGAATCTGAATCCACATTGCTCAAAAATAGCTATTCTGTGAATTTATATCCTACCTTAATCCTAATTATCTTCCTTGCCTATATATCCTCTTATAACAAAGCATTCACCCAGGAAGTTTGGTTTGAAATTTACACCCTGGTACATTTCACAACAACTTCCCCATGCAGAGAAATCATTTATTTACATGGGCAAAGTACTGCAAAGTTGATGAGGGTACAAACACCATGCTGACTTCCCCCCAACTCTCTGCACAGGTGTTTTATCAGTGCACTGAAACAAAACCTCAGCTCACCTGATTCCCCGCACAGACAAACCCAGCCCCGTGTGGATTAACCCACCCCTTCATTTCGACTGCTCTAGAGGTGGGTTACAGTCCAGTGTTGGCCTGCAAGTAAGGTCTGACCAGACTGACTGCCACTGATCTGATGGCAGTGCCATCCCCCGATATGGCTCCAGTCAAACTGGGAGGGCTGGGAGAAGCGAGCAGCTGCTCGCCACTGCAGTTCCCAGCCACGGCGGTGTCACGCCGCACTTCACCGGAGCACTGACCGCCCTGCGAAGACACACCACCAGCCTTTTGAAAAATGGGTGAAATCAGCTGGGAATCTCGGTGATGCCCACCTGACCCCACGGCCTCACTGTCAGGAGACACGCGAGGTTGAGGACCAGGTGTGTGCATCCCAACTTCACTCCAGCGCAGCTTCCCACGCCCCAGGGCGCGCTGGAGTTCTCTGCTGGAACACGCGTGTGCACCGCTGCACCTCCCGGCCGCGGAGGGCAGCTGTCATCCCGCACGAGGGGAAAAATACAGAGGGGAATTACCACTCGAGGAACACGGAGATGGGACAGGGACGCTTTCCCACCCTGTTATCTCATCTTATACTAGAGCTGGCAGAGGTAGCCGAGCCCGGAGCCCCCCGCGGGCACCTCTCACGGTGGGTACGGAGGTGCCGCCCGGCTGCTGCCCGGGCATCCTCCCTCCGTCCCTCCCTCCGTCCGTCCGTCCCTGATTCCCGGTCCCTCGCGGGGCCAGCGCCGAGAGCCCGCGGCCTCCCGTGCACCGCAGCCCGGCCCGGCGGGCAGG